CTGTGCAAATCCCATGATCTTTAGTTTGGCGAGCAGGATGTCGTGATCTACTGAATCAAATGCTTTGGTGAAATCCAGAAGGACCAAAATAGTAATATTACTGTGATCTATCGCTGTTCTCACGTCTTCAATTGACGGGCGTATTTACAGGGCGTAATGCCCTGAGGAAGGTCGCAGAATGGCGACCGAAACGTCGGCACCTTCGCCATGGTCGCGGCGTCTCCCGGACAGCCAAGTAAATGCTGACTCCGGCCGCGGAAACCTACGCTGTCACCCCTAGACGTATATTTTGGTAGAAATCTTGAAATCTATTTTCCGCAGCATTTCGTAACTTTCCCTACACTATACGGTAAAGTAAAAATACATTTACAAGCGTTACAAATACACGAATACTCTATTATCGTAGTGTATTCGCGCATAGTGCATAGTGACAGCATCGAGTTATTTCCAACTTGTACAAAAATTGCACTTTTTTTCAGATTCAACATTTCGTTGGAATATCTTTAAAAATCCATGAGACAGTGTCAGTAAAGTAGTCTCTGTCAGTGAAATAAAACGTTTGTCTGATACTAGGAGATCCGCTCGGGCCGATGCAGTCTCTGCATTACAAAAAAAGTTTTGAGCTCCATTGCACAAGTCACAAAAAAGCCATCAGAAACACGACACGAAGCCAGTAAAATGAAATTAGAACATGTCATTTTAACTAAAGTATGGCTGTTGTGCTTACATATGTCATTGAAACTAACAAAACGTTGCAGAAGGAAAACTTGTCATTGGATGTTGCTTCAAAGCTATATCATCTTTGACCAATCGTTCAAGTGATATGAGAAATGAATTTGATAGCAATTGCCAAGGAACAATTCCCGATTTTGATGATCAAAATTTGCGTGTAACAAAAAGTTCTCGAATATTCTTTTCTCTGAGAGAAACATTTAGAATACACACTTATACACTCTGATAAGTGAAGTGCATAGACGAGCTGAGTCGTACAGAATGATAATCGATTTTTTTCAAAATTACTACCAAAATTATTATCAATAATTGGAAATAATTTGCTGAGTTTTATCACGCTGATGAAACGAACAGCTCAGATCGGAATGTTTTAAATTTAAACACCACCTTCGTCTTGAAAATCCAGCACACAGCGATGTATCTTTGCAGAAACGTATAAATTATTAAAAGATACTCTTGAAGAAACATCCCGAGCATTGAAATAGCGTTGGGAATATTTTTAATGTTGAGGGTCAGGAATAATAGGCTACGGGTGATCACTCCTTTTCAAAGCTGAAATTTATAAACAATGAATTACGAATAATTCAACCAGCCACCATTACAGAGACGCAGATCGTCCCGGATAGCCTAGATAAAACAAAGACAAGGCAGATTGTTAACACATGCACTACGTAAATAGTATTGTCTGACCTTTGCTGGGGTTTATTGTAATGCCATTTAGCTTGCACCATGTTTTGAGGTTGTTGGTTGCTTTTTGCAATCTTCTGACTGCGCTTGCGATCTTTCCGAATTTCGTTGTAAAGGCCACATAATCGGAGAAAAGATATTCTGAGACGTGCGGATTTTGAGGAACGTCATGAATGTAGAGGGAGAAGAGAAGAGGAGAGAGCACGGCTCCCTGCGGGACGGCAGCTAGAATGTTTTTAAGAGTGGATTTGTGAGTTTGATACTTAACGAGGAAGGTTCGGTTTTGAAGATAGCTAAAAAGGAGACGGCACAGATAGGTTGGTACGAATTTGTGGCATTTCTGGAGAAGAATATGATGGTTTACCTTGTCAAATGCACAGGGGAAATCGAAGAATATGGCAGGAATTTTACAGCGCCGGGAGAGTGTGGAAGCAATTTCCATTGCAAGTCGAAACGTTTGCATTACTGACGAGTGGCCTTTGCGAAACCCAAATTGCGAAGCCCTGATGGCTTGGGCGTCGTTTAATTTTTGATTTATAACGAGGTGGAGTAATCTTTTAAATAACTTCGATATTTGTGATACAAGGTTAATAGGGCGATAGTTTTCAGGATCTGTTTGGTTTTTATTGGGCTTGTGCAGCATTATTATATGAGCTTTTTTTCCAGTTGTTCGGAAAGTAGCTAGCGTTTATACAGGCATTCATTATCTGGACTAGGGCAAGGACGGCGCTTTTTGGCAATCCTCCCGCATCCCTCCGCTGATTTGATCTGGCCCGCTCGCTTTTTGATGACTTAGAAGTTTGATTTTTTCTCGCAGTTCTTCTTCTGTGCTTGAATTTTGTTTTCGTCCGTTTGTCTTCCACAAGAGAGGCACAATGGGACGAATTTATAGCAAAAGCGGAACTAAAGGATCGTAACGACTTATGGATATTCCAAAAAACTGAAAAATCCGTCAGCACCCATCACGACCCTTAAAGACACGGCCAGTTCAAACAAAACCTACGACCCAGCACGCAAACCTACGACATACTGCCCCCAACCTGCCCTCTTTTAGGTGTGCGCTGTTATGGGAGGAAGCACCGCATGGCGTGCAAGATTAAGATTAATACGCGTGAACACTGTTCGAGTTCGCAGCTGCGCGGCGCGGAGGGAGCGAGCGCTCTAACCTCTCGACACGCAAAACCAAGGCAGGGGGAGCGGACATGCTTCTTCCTCAACACCAAGGTCGCGGTTACAAATAGTAAAAGTAAATTGTATGACAGTAAATCCAGCCCCATCTATATAATTCTGTCTCAACCCTCCTCCTCCCATGTTTGGCGTTATGTAATTAATGGACGACGCCCCAGGTAATGGTAAGATTCAGCATGCTCTTAGAAAGACGACAATATTTTGGCCGTAGAACCACCCACCATAACAGAGACCAGATCGTCCCGGATAGCCTAGATAAACCAAAGACGAGGCAGATTGTTAACACATGAGCAAGGTACTCTCAGCCCTAATATGTATGAATTGAAAAACAATATGAGTCAATGTGTTTAAAATGGATCTTTGAGACAGGGAAATGTATCAGAAAATTAGAAAGACATATTTATGGAAAACTTTGACATGGGCTTTTATTCAAATATCTTCAAACAGAAACAAATAATTACCAATTATTTCTCTGTATCTGTGTTAAATTATTTTACTTCACAATCACAAATTATTTATACAAAATTAGAATAAATTTCCCAAACCCTAGTTTGGATATTGTACTCAAAAATTTCATTTTGTGTGCTAATATGTATACCATCATAAAATGTCTCTTTCAAAGAAGGCATGTGAAGTCTGAAAAATATATATATATATATGTATATATATTACTGATTTGAAATTTATATACATTATAAAGCACAAAATGTTTGTATTAATACTTCTACACAGGGTAAAAAAGAAACAAGTGTTATTATTGGCACTCAGGATGCAAAACTTATGAAGAATGCTATGAGATGTGTAGGTAATGTCTTTTTACACCAGTCATTTCCAAAACTGAGTATAAGTGGAGATGGACGGCTTCTTTCTACAAGGATGATTCAGACTGTTCTGAGACCACTTTCACTGAAACACTTTTTTGCGACATTTTTCCACATTGCGACACATTTTGTTTAATTTCATTGTTTTATTTTTTTTGATATCACCAAAATTTAGAGAAATATTAATTTAACATTTTCATTTAGTTGTGCATCCCATACAGTACATTTATATATAATTATGTTTAACTACAAGGTTTTTAAATTAGTAACTATTAATCTCATATATACAACCGGGAAAAGTCAGTACTACATGTACACTAAAACCACACAATAGCTTCAAAACAAGCTATATTTTGAGACAAATTAACACAAAATGTCTTAAAACGCAGTTCCTCCACATCTCTCTTGATTCTCTTCATATGCCAAAAAAGGAAGGAATAACATAACTTTAATTGCATTTTGTATAAATTAAGCAATATTTTATTTTAATATTTACATTATGCAAATTGGTTTTGACAGAGTTTCTCTGCTGTACATAAACTCAACGAAATACATGTTGTAGATTAATCAGAAGTATCACAACAGCTGTTGCAAATCATTCTAAAATTATGAATAAAAATATTCAGAGTCAGTTTCTTCTTGTTAATTTACTGTGAAGTAATTTTAGTACAGGTACCAGAAGAAACAATGACTTGTGAGCATTGTTATTTATGTTGAAACATCAATGTGTATGAAACTTTCCATTCCCCTTTCACGACTTACAAAGACTGAAGTCAGAGTAGCAACTGCCTTTAAAAACATGATTGTACAGAAAGTTCATATGTATCTCCATTTTTGTGTGCAATTTAACACACACACACACACACACATACACTCACTCGCATACATCCCTCTAGAGTTATAACATAATTATCAGTACTTATATATATTATATATATTATTTATATATTTCTTCTCTAAAACTTTCCATTTCTACAAATAAGACAACAATAACAAGAGACACAAAATGTAAAAAGATTCAGTGGAGAGACATATGTGAAATTGTTTCATAAAATAGAATATATGTATGTATGTATGGTTCTATCATTTGATTTCTCACTCTCCAATTTCTGGCTATACACTTGTAACAAAAGTTTTAGCTGGGCAGTATGAGTTTTTATTCATCAATGATCAATACAAAATTCAGAGAATTGTCAGTTTCATTCAAACATCCTATTACAGTAAATAGAAAATTTAACACCGCATAAAATCTTGGTTAAATGAATATTTATAATATTTTTTTGCTCCATCACTCTCAATACAGTGTAAGAACTTTTCATTAGTACCTACAATTAATTACTAATATTAGTTTTGGGAGTGAGTATAAGAAAGATTAAGACAAACCGTTTCTTGAATCAATCCTTTTTGCATACCTATTCTGAAATTTATAATATTTAATAGGATGGGGTTTTCGGATCTTCCTATCACATAGTTTCATTAGTATGCTGCAAGAATAATATCAACTGCTTCTGCTTCAGTAAATAAGCAACCACTCTAAAGTAAGAAGTTGTTTTCTTGATAGTTAAATATTTTTAATAAACAATTACAAACTGTTAATTTGATAAGAAGAAAGGAAATAATACTGAATCTCAATAGAAAACTTTCAGACAATTTTTATGAAATGAAATTTGCTTTGAACATTGTTGCCCTGTTAGATGATGTATTTGTTACAAAGTTGTTAACAACATTTGTATCTAAAAATATTTTTAAAACAGAAAAATAAGAATATTCCCATTATGGAGAATATTTTCATGTAGGTACTACACATGACAAAAAATATATCTGGCACATAAAAATTGTAACTTCTGAATTCCTTATAATAATTATCCAAATACAAACAAAATTGGTACAAGTAGTAAACTCCTATTTTGAATATTTGAGCTGAAGGTAAATATATTTTACAAGTTACAAAAATTATAGACTGCCTTTCAAATCTCATCACATTGAATCTGTGGTTTTTTGGCCACACAATCAAATTAGAAGAGAAAAAATATTTGTATGTTCACAACATATTTAAATGTTTTTACAACATTAATCAGAATAACAAAGTTATTGCTTTGATTTGCACAACAGCTGATCACAATTAATTGAAGTATTTAATAGAAATTTATATGTATGCTTCTGACATTTGGTGCACCTGTCAATATCAACATTAAAATTAATGTGTACACAAAATTGTACCTAATCCTTAATTAGGTTTACAAAATGTTCGTATTACATAGAAACTTCCTGAATAAAAAACTGAGTGATTCCAAAACTTTAAATTGGAAAATAAATAATTTGTATGTCATGAAATGAATAATAATCACTTAATATTCATACTAACATTCTCCTCTTCTAAGATAACATTTTTCTAAACATCTCTATATCAGTCCCCAACGTCTGCATTGTAAAGAAATATAATAAATGTTCATAAGAATATTTTTCTGAATCCTTAAGCACCAGAATGTTTTAAAAATTAAACATATCAGCACTCCTGAGACCAAATTAACTGCTCTTTGAGAAATGCATGATCATTTTAAAAACCATAATCCTCAACAATTTCAGTTACAAGAATGTACAATGAGCTCACACACTCATTCACACTAAAAATATTATATTACCATGTTTTGTTTGAATTTTAAGTAAACATTACATTTAATCTTTAAACTTGATTATTTTCTCATAAGATCACCAAATGCAAATATTTTCTTTACAGAAATTGCAACTTTTAAAAGTCAAATATACAATACAAAGCAAGAATTAATAAGATCAATTACAATATGTAAATTAGCAATGGTAAACAAATTCATAATCAGCATGCATCCCTCAGGATCAAGATCGATAAAATTTTATAAAACAAAAGTTGAAGTTGAAAGTTGTTCTTTAAATTTGAAAACTATCCAAATCGGAAATTTCACATTCAATGGATCATCATTCTTTTATCAATATGATGAAAGAACAAAAATAATAAAACTTGCATTTGTATGAATTTTACAAAGCAATCAACAATAATAATAAAAAAAAAAAAAATAAAAGAAGAAATATTATAACAAGAATTTCATTTTGATACTAGTTGGAATGGGCACAAGGTTCAAGATAATCAACAATACAATACATATTATAACACAATAGTTGAGTCCATCCACAGAATTCTACTAATGAGACATGTTCATTTTTCATTTGAACAATTACTAAACACTTGCTATTTTTCTAACACTGAAACTTTCAGTCAGAGATGACAGTTAAATCTCACACATGCAAACTTCTCTGATATATATTTCAACCTTTCTTTAATATAATATTTGTTATTAACAATGGCAAATATTTATCACTTAGACAAAATATTTACATACAGATAGTCGATGTCATCCCACTTTTTCCCAGTCGAAGTACATGAACTCATCTTGTTCAAGAAAAGTAATTCTGCATTGATGCCCTGAAATGCCTACCAACATACATACTTGACATTCATATGTATATGATTGGCAAATAAAGTAGACTCTACAGTCATGATTCCACCCCAGAATTATAATAGGCAACTATCACAAAATGTGGAAGAATGTTACACTTTGAATGTCTCTTGTGACAAGAACAAATGACAATGACAGAAACAAATGCTGTTGATATTATGAGGCTTATTTAAGAGATTCTCAATAAGCTTTCAATGAGATGTTAGGAGAAGTCTGGCTTTTTTGATATCCCCACCCGTACACACATTTATTTAGCATGACAAAACTTGAAAACTAGTGATGCTAAAAAGCCACCAATTGAATACACTAAAATTCAGAGCAAACAAAGTTAAAAATAAACTAACAATATTTTGTAGAGAAGAAGATTGAATACAAGAAACTGCATTAGATTTTCAGAATCAACTAAAAAGCCCTACTGCTTTGCACACTTTTGTAAACAGTTCAAACAAATCTGATGGAAGGTAGATAAATCTAATAAGCTCTAGAATTAAAAGGATATATAAAAAGTTAGAACTATGTTTTCTTGAATGTGATTTATCTGCAGTTTCTATGAATGATTTGCATATGGTAAATGACACCACAAATGTTGCAGGTAGAAGTACACAGGCATGAGACAATTTTAAAGTATCATTTTGTACCTGAACTGATTATAATAGATGAAATATTACAGTGAAGAAAAACAATTGAGCAAAAATGAAATTGTACATTCATGAACACTAAATTAGTACCAAGCCTACAGTGAGATATGGACTTTCACACTATTGTTCCAAATATAAAGTGGAAATAGGAAATTTCCAATGGAAATGGAAAATTTTTTAGAAGCTAATTATAATAAGTAATGAGCAGAGGCAGCTCTGGTATTAACTTAAAAAACAAAACAAAAGAAACAACAAAAACATGAAATTATTTACACTGGTTAAGAACACTTAATGGCAATTATTTTACAACAATTAATTATCTAATTTCTTTTTCATTCTACACACATAAGTATTTGTCAAGTGACCAGATAAAAGAAATAAAATTAAGTTTTAGTTTCTTGGCATAAAATTGAATTTCTAAAGTAAACCATATTTATCTAGAAACTCCTGTGATTACAAAGATGAAAGATGGCAAACTTATATGACGAAGCGATACAACAAAAGAACTATGCACATGACCCTTTAACTACTTTTGGATTAAAGCCAAAGGTTTACAGTAGACAATTTATCAAGCTTCTAATGGTAATGGCATGCTACTGTAAAGCTTTATTAATAGAACTGTTAATGAATCTTGGACTCCCTCCTAACATTTTTTAAAGTTCTTAATTAACTCGTTCCCAAATTGACATTTTTATTCACCAAACTGGCATGCACGCACACAAACAACAACTTTAATTTAGATACGTTTGGCAAATTCATAATTTGTGCTAAATGTCTCTTTTCAAGAGGCTATGAGATTCTTTAGTTCACAAAGTAATTCTGTGGGCACAAAGTAATTAATGTTCTTTGTTTTAACATTTGATGAAAAGAGTATTTTGTTACAACTTATTTCAGCAATATTAATAAAATTTCCTTAAAGAAGATACATACTACTGCTTAAAATTATTACTACAGATGATTCACTGCAATGAAAAGCAATTTAGGTAAAAGTTTCTCTTTATGAAATTATTAGAAAGAGTTGAAGGAGAATCTACAATTTGCTTTGCAGATCAGATTTTTGCTTTGCTCACTCAGATTTAAGTTAAAAATATATCTTCATTATCCAATCTATTTACAAAACTTTTAAAACTTTCTCCCCAGCAATCTTTCTGAATTTTTTTACCCATTACTTTGTCAGTATTACAAACTGCTTTCTCATTGACCCAAAAACTATTATCAAAGCAATATATTTAATACAACTGGGCATGCATACTCACAGCCAAGATAGTGATAATCATTTTTATTGAAAAGAAAGTATATTATAATTTATAATAATAGCTCTTTTAGATATCTTAACACATGAATACAAGATATCATTAATGCCACTGCTGATATGACTGAAAACATATTTTCTCTTTCTTCACTGAAAAATTAATCCACTTACGAAAATTGAGCTTGGACACTAAAAGATTCTGCAGATCATTTAGAATGACCGCACAGAAATGTTCTTATTTTGGAGATAAATTATTATACAAACGATTCAACCCCCCCTCCCAAAATTACATCACAACATGTATGATCTATAAAAAAAATATTGGGCAAATTTTGCCCTTCAAAGTGTCACTCAAAGCTATTATAATTTCACTACTGGAATGTTTTGAATTGTAATGAGCAATTCTCACTGAATATTTAACAATCAATGAACAAGAACTACAATTTACAAGAATTAAATTATATAAAAAAGTAGTTAAAAATTAATTAAAATGTATACATGAAATGTCACATAAGAATCCATCTTCCACTAAATTTTTGAAAACTGATGTGTGCAAAACTATTTGAATTGCTTCATATAATTTACCACAGGTGAACTAGCTAAAAAAAAATTTCAACATAATATAAATGAATATACAATCTCTGAAAGAGAGTAACAAAAAGGTTACAAAAATACTGATTATAATATTTTTTGAAGTGCCATTTAAGCAAATATGAATGCCCTAGAACACAACCTAAGTGGTGTCATCACACATTTTATTAGTTGTGCGTGTAAAGCACAAAAGTTCCCAAAATGGTTTGGCTCCTGCTACTCAATGTTAAATCATAGCTACAGAGTACATAATTTTCAATTGAAATATATTTCAATCTTTATACATACATGTCTTAAGTCACATGTGATGCAGTTTTCTTCTTTTAAATATCACCAAACACAATCCAGAGCATTCTGCTTCTTTATAACTTTCTTCATTTCTTGAAGAAAGATGACTTCTGTAAAAGTTGTTAGCACCATAACATGATGCACAAGTTACCACTTTTAAAATGTGTTTACGTGTAAACACACGAAAGACTAGGCAATCCATGGAGGAAGAAATGAGTACACACATAATCAATTTGCATGGTGTTCACTTTCAACTGTCAAGGTTGCCTCAGACTGCTCTTGAGGATGAGCAGTATTTTCAGAGATTATACCAGATTGGTCCATAGCTGCCTCTTCTGCTGCTGTGTCACTAGGAGAAGCAGAAGCACTGCTGGAGTTGGCTGCCACTGGCTTTTCAAGTAGTGATTTTCTAAGTTCAACTACTTCAAAGCCTTCATAAAGGCGTTTCATGCCTCGAGGTAAAGCACGACATGAAGACAAATTTAGAGACTGGAGGTGGGGACATCGCAAGAGGACTGCTTTCACTGGCTCCAGGCTCACAGATGAGCCACACAAGTTTAGAATCCTAAAAGGAAATGATTTATGTGAAAGCCACGAGTAACAAAGTTGATTTTTAAATAAGAGTACCAATTCAATTAGAAAGTATTAATCAAATGTTTACTCTTCAAAACCCAAATAGAAATAAAAAACTATAAAAATGAAAGTAAAGTAATAAACATGTTTTACATTTTGAATCAAAAATATAAATCATTCAAATGGAAGTCTATTGTTTAATGATATTGACTAATGTGATGGAATAGGTTAATTTATTTTTATGACACAAGTGGAAACTTTCCATTTTAATTTTATAAAACAGAAATCATAAGTAACGTGGATATACATTACACATACATTGGAAGATTTTTTTGCTTCAAATTTTGCCTACCACTTTGCTCTTAAATAAACATAATTTTATCAACATGTTTAATACCTCTCAAGATTTTTGAGATACATTTTAAATTAAAGAAAATCCTATTCTCCCCTTTACTTTTCATTAGAGTCTCAAACATTGGAAACAATACCCGCTCTAATATTGGTATAAAAATGTATTGTAATTTGCTTGTTTCTCATTATTTATTTCATCGCAAAAAGAACAAAATAATGCTTCTCACCTCAGTGGAGATTCCTCTCCCTTTTCAGAAAATGCAGTAACTGCACTATCTAAGGGAGCGGTGGCAGTGCACCAACCAAGGTCCATTTCTATTAAACTATGACTCCATTTTTGAACAATTAGTTCCAAACCAGATTCTTGCATCTTCGTTACATAGCACCCTGTTGAAAACAAAAGTTGTAAAAACGAGATATATCTCCATAACCAATTAAAAAAAAATCAGGCTCTAATAATTTAACAAAAAAATTTATTATCAACAGTAAATCAACATCAAACTGATCATGTTTCTGTAGGACTAAAAACGTTTCCCCCCTTTTGTTATAGTGCAATGCACCAGGAAAGTCTGTCAGCACCAAGCCGAGTCAGGGCCTCCTATTAAAAATTGCATTTATGTTGGTAGCAACCAGATGATTAGGAAACAACTGAAAGGGACCAAGCTACAAGCTTCTGTTATGATTGTGGTGAGTACACAATTTCCGTTTTCTTTTGTTACAAATTGCAGCTCAAGCCACAACAATTTCTGTTGCTTGCACTCTCACCAGGAAGGTGATACTGCAGAGAGACTTCTGGGACTTCTGAATTAATACAACTATTTTATAATGTTATGCTTTATTGCATAAGTCAATGTTTTAAAAACAAGTGATATTATGAGTGAGTAATAAAGCAACATTATAAATTAGTTGCATACCAATTATTTTTGTATAACAGAATTGTAAGTTTACAAAAGAACAAAAAATGCATATACAATTGGGTACACCAAAAAGAAAAGAGAGAAAAAAAAAATGGTTGCACCTACTGCTGTTTTTAAGATATTACAATAATTTTGTAAAAATTGTTATGTTGGGTTTGTTTTGAAGTGACCTTCTATATTCAACTATTGGTGTGTGTTTTAAGTACTTCTAAAACATAAGTTATTTTCTCTTGTTTTATTGTTTTCTTTATTCATGAAAGGAATTTTCTTGTAACTTTTCAAAATTAAATTCAAGAATTCTTGTACAAACTGATGACATATTAGTGAAAAACATACGCAATATTTAGTTTAAAGCAATTAATCAAAAATAATATAATGTGTTTTAACAGAAATACACCAAAACCTTTTGGGTTAGTGTCAAATCAAAACAAATTGTCATCAAAAACTGAAATTAATGTACTTTATTAACTGAAACAGTTTCATAACTTGGTAATAATAAAAGGTATATAGAAAAAGTATTACCTGAAAGAAAAAGATGTTCGAGATCCCATGCTGGAACTCTTACAAGGCTGGAGTCTGAGATGCGAGAGCATCCACGAACATCCAACAAACGCAGTTTATGTGAATTCTTGAGAATTCGCTCCAAAGAATTATCATCAATAGTGGGTCGTTGCATTGATCCATCTAGACCAAAAATTGATGCAACACTCAATTCTTCCAGACATGGGAAGCCAAGAGATGCCACCTATTGCAGAAACCCAAATTTTATATATTGTATGTTTGTATGAACTTTACAGGTTGCAAAACAATTATACATGTCTCCTCGGAGAAAGTTGAAGAAAGGTTCAGAGTTGAAGAAAGTTCAGAGACAAGGAACAAAAAGTAACTGAAAATCAAAAAAACGAACATCAACTAATTAATCTCAAAACTACTTGTTTGAAGTCTTTTAATCATGTTTAACTTCTCTGTCACAATAGACCTTTTTATATGATTTATTGAAAGGATATGTGAAATGTCAGTCACCTAGCTCAGTATTCTTTCCTTTTATATTTAAGATAAAAAATTTCAAACCAAAATAATTGGTCAGAAAAATATGTTTATACAACTAGAGAGGACAAAGAAACAGTTGATGAAGTGTGATTCAATATTTGCTTCCAAATACATAAACTTTTGCTCTTCCTTTTCTCTTTCAACGAATCTTTCTCAGAAGTTGACAAAACAGAGTAAAAACTGACACTGTTGTAACAAAATTCATGCTCAACTAATCAGACAAATAGTCTTCCCCTAAAATAAATTCTGGTGATTCCTCTAATATGAGTTAAAACCTTTGTATTGTATTTTCGTAAATTTGACATCTCAACTTAGAACTCTTTTCTGACGAAACTACATTATTCGGATTTCTTGAATATTATATTCCTCTACGATGCAGAAAAAGAAAACTTAAAAAAAATCTACACAAGTGAACAAGTTTTCATGAAAAAGTTTTCAAAATCTTAAGAGCATTAGACGAACAAAATTCCTTTCCATTGCATTCAATTTTATGATAGTGATATTACATATTTCACATAAAACAAAACACTGTTACCTGTTCCTTCAGAGAAGTTTGGGCAAGACACAAGTTGCTGTTAGAAAATCGAAGCACTCTTAGTTTTTGGCAACCATTTTGAAATCTTTCAATAGGTAAAGGTGCTGTTGAGTAGCTACACATATTGGAAATATCAAACACTTCTAAATTTGGACAATTTTCCTGCCAGGAAAAAAACAGAAAAAAAAGGGTTATGATATTTATGGCAAGATAATTAATATTAAATTTAAGTTGAGCTTGGAAACTTACAGCAATGGCAGTGACAATTTGGGATATTCCAGTAATCTTATTGTCAGCAAGAGTGAGATGTGTAAGGCGATCTCCTATAGTCTGGCACATATTACGAATGGCTGTCATCGACACAGCACTGCGATTAATGCTCCCATCAGGCTGTGAAGATCACACTCTCAAGTGACTTGTGATGCAGAATGTAAATTGAAAAATTAGGTTCAGAAAATACTTACACATATGCTAGTAAGATCAATTCGAGAAAGAAACTGACAATTATCAACCAAATATTTTAAGTGATCTCCATGTAAACCAGTCCATCCTGTAAGAGTAATCCCTCGAAGATTTGGACAGTGTTCAGTCATTACTTGGAGAAATCTCTGTTTGTCAGAAAACTTCCAGCCACCTACATCAATGCATAAAATAAATAATCATACAATATTAAATTAAATATTATTTCACTTAAATGTGGGATATTTGATTAATCCTGAATTAAGCATCAATTTAAACCAGATTATCTCTAAAGGAAAGGTAAAAGACTTATTTATAGACTCTCTTAACCCAAATACTTCACAATAAAGAACATAATGCAGTAGTATCAAATTGCAAAATGTTATTGTGGAAGAGTCATTTCAAATACACAATGGTACATTGATAGTAACAGTTTATACTTTTAAGTTTATTCTTTATAAATATGAACAACATCCTACAAACAGTTACATATTTCATAAACTCTAGTAATGGATTTACCAGTCATCATAATAAAATAAGAACACCAGGGCCAATTCATAATGGCAACTCATGATTTCAGCAAAACTTAAGAAAAAAGTACATTTTACTTAGGTCTATACTAAATATTTGTAAAGTTATCAAAGAATTAGCTCACATACTGTCATTTGGTAGAGAAAATCAGATTTGCTTAGCGTATCTTTCAAACTCAATTTATTATTCTCAAAAATTTCAGAATATATTTAAATTTTTTTCTATTACTTAGGAACCTCTATTACTTTGAACAATTAATTTAAGTCTTACCAATGTTAAGATCTTCAACAAGAGAAAATCTATTTTCACAAAGCCATGCCAATTGTGCTTCACTCTTGTATCTATCACGAACCCAAGTACCAGTTAAATCTATTATATTCCAAAGAGAAGGGGCTAAAGCTGCTTCTCTCCACAATCGACACACTGATGAAGCCCTGAGAAAATGCACAACTAAGAATCATTATATATATATGAAACCTTACTTTACATTACATTTTACTTTGAATAAATCTTACCGCACAAGAAAGGGTAAGCAGCCTTCTTCCTGGGCAACAGTAGAGAAAACTTTAATTAACACTGGTACTGGAAGATGAGATCCCCATTTGCTCTGTTCAGTACTTCCTGGATCAGAGGAATCCAAGTTTTCCTCTTCTTCCTCTTCATCTTTCTTACTTCTTCGCTTTCTAGTTCTTTCCTTTCGCTTTACATTTTTCTGAACAGCAACTGATCCTGGAGATTTCTTTATTTTTAATTTGATGCCATTCTGATCAGGTGATATCTGACTGTGATATGTCACAGCTGGCTGTCTTTTTTTCACTGAACAACCACCACGACCCTTAGACATAACATCATCACCACTTTTTCTTTTTCTACCACGAGTTGATCCAGACTTGGTCCTAGAGCCACTTTGAATAGCTGAATAGTGTCCATTACCGACATTCCTTGCCTTTTCATCACTTTCTTCTTCATCTTGGGTGTCTTGAGAATTGCATTCTGAATCCGGACTGACTATTTTATTTTCTATACCCACCAAATTCACTTCTGTATAGTTTGTACTTTGGGAATTATCATTAAAGTATGTTTGTACTGTTGCAGCATCACTTTGCCGAGTAATTTCAGATTCTACACTTATATTATCTGCAGCCCTATTTTGATCTAATCCATCAGTACTTGTTAAGCTACAAGGTAAGAAATCTTTATTTGAATCACTTTCACCAAGACCACAAATCAAATCTAACTTGAGATGATCTTTTAAATTTGAACTATGTTCTGTCAAACTGTCATTGAAGAAGTCGGAACAATTGTTTCCAAGATCACTTTCAGATATTGCACTAATTTTAGAAGAATTCACAGGGTCTATGCAATTACTGAAACCACTATGTACTGGAAAATTATTTGGAGGCAACAATTTCGCATCTAAATTGCTGAGAAGGTCTGAAGTGTCAATGTCACTGCTGAGATTACTGCAAGGCACATTTCTTGAAGAGTCTTGTGACTCCAGAAGAAAATCCAATGGGTTCACTGAACTATATAAATCATCAGGATGATCAGAGCACTCACCATTTTGCTCATCCATCCTGTTAGTTGTTACAGTAAAATTTATTCACATAATCATAACTTGAATATGTTCAAGAGCATGAAGGCATGAAAAACTTCCCATTGCATGATATTCACAAATATTCTGTCAACGTCGTTTCTCGCCACTTTCCCTTAAAAGAACACAAAGCACAAAAAATAAGTATGAACCAACACACAACATCGTTATAGTTAATTCCGTAAGAAATTGTCGCTAACACTGGCCATTGTATATAAGAGCGCTTGGAAACACGCAATTATACTGTCAGCTAATGCAAGCCAGGAATAAGCTTTCCAAAATACAATTTTAATGCAAATACTGGAATCGTTCACTTTGCGAGTACCTACTATGCATTGGGTACGCCCCCTTTGTAATTGGGGTGCTGAAGCCCAATCACTTTGAAGTGGAATGTTTACTAACATTGACAAGCGTCAACATTACAACATTAAAATGTCAAACTGATGGTTTGTAACACGGCGAGGGATACATGTCATTATCAGTGCCCGGCTACGAGCCTTTTCACTTCGGACTAGTCCTGACAAGGTAATAGAACGCCAAGACACATTTACCGAGTCAAATAAACAGAAATGTGTGGGTATATTTGACGCGTTAAAGTAGCAAGCCAGATTTCGTGTCTCCGCCTGCTCCAAATAACACCAGTTTACTTACCATGCATATTTCCTGTAATGCCAATTGCGCACATGTATCTCAGACAATTATGTAATGCAAATCACCCATAATCATCATCACAATCCACATGAATATAAGAGTTTATCCCCATTTCGAATATTTTACCGATCGTGCCACTGACCTTCGACCAACAGGAAGCAAATTTGCTTGGAAAACTTACCACCAGATGCCTCTGTGTACCCTGTCTGCCCCCAAGGTAGCGACAATGGTGGGGGGAGGGGCTGTGCATGCTCCTCACCACTCCGCACCTCGCCGCGCTCCACGTTTGCGTCAGTCCGCATTGCTCTATGCTCTGTCCTCGCTGCACATCTTTGCGTTCGCATGCTTCACATGCTGGTCCGGTTTACAGTTTCGGTACCCGAGACAGCCTTTGACTTGTTATTGCATTGATTTTTTTTGTGACTACTTTCGAATAATAACAGGTACGAATAAGTGTATGTGATTTATTTGTTAATTTATTCGTGAAAACTCATTGGTAGATTTAATATTTTAAAATAAAATTGTAGAGTATGGGGTTATGAAAAAATGTCATCACAGTAATTTATTAAATATTATAGTAGATCAAAACTTTCAAGAATGGTAACTGCAGAGCTTCAAGCCATTGTTATGGCGGGCGGTAAAGGATCACGCATGACTGAAATAACTGTTGGGAGACCAAAGTGTCTTTTACCAGTTGGCAATCAACCTATGATTTGGTTTCCCCTTCAAATGCTCGAACGAGCTGGTATTCAAGGTAAGGTGTCAATGCTGTTGGTGTATCTCAATAGCTAGACTCCATGTTACAACATCTAGATCTTTTACAGATGTTATTGTTGTGGTTACTGAATCCATACGTGTGGAAGTTCAGACAGCATTGGACCGCAGTGGTTTGAAAATGCATATTGAAATTGTTGCTATTCCTGCTGGGGAAGATTGGGGTACCGCAGACTCGCTCAGGCATCTGGGTGAAAAAATAAAGGTAATTCTCATTTCAGATTCCTTGTAATTTTTTTGTATGTTGTAACCACCAACAGTCGAATATGAATCATACAAATCAATTTATTTCAGACAGATGTTTTGATTGTCAGTTGTGATTTAGTAACCGATGTGTGCCTAAATGAAGTTGTAAATGTGTTCAGAAAACATCAAGCATCTGTTACTGCAGTGTTTTTTCGAACTCACAATGAAACAAATGCCACAACTCCAGGCCCCAAAACAAAACACAAACCTGGTAAAACCTATTTCACAATAAATGTATGTGTACAGAAATTTGGTATCTGTATTTATTTTTTCTTTCATTTATATGTTTCAGAAAGAGATTTGGTTGGTATTGATGCTGTTACATCACGTCTAGTCTTTTTGGCATCTGCATCAGATTTTGAAGAAACTTTATCTCTTCCTCGATCACTTCTGCGAAAACATCAACATCTAACAATTCATAGCCAATTAGTTGATTCTCATTTGTATGTGCTTCGTCATTGGATTGTGCAGTATTTGATACAAGAAAAGTAATTTTCCTAAATGTCATTGCATGTTTGAGTGTTCATTGTGCTAAGGTCAATGTTGGAGGAACAAATAAATCTTTAGCTTAAATGCGAGCTACTTTTAAAAATAAGACAATTAATTGATTATTTACATACTGTGTTAAGTTTGTTGGCCTTATTGTATTCGTTTTATAGATGTGTATCAACAACATTTCAGATCATTTACTACCTTAAAAGGAGAACTCTTACCATATATTGTAAAGAAACAATTGTCAAAAAATGTTAAATCGATGGAAACTGATCCTAATGCTTCAATAATTGGTGTTGATGTAAAGAAAGGTAACTTTTAATGACTAAAATTTGTATTAAGAATCTGCTGGTTATTGTAGTTTATTTAAGTGTTATTGCATTAACAGAAGTGGCACAATTTGCTGCTGGGGATCAATTAGACACTGATATCTGTAACATGTCTACCTTTAATGATCATCATGGAGACATGAAGTCTGCATATCATGGTGATTCCATTCGTTGCTATGCATATATAGCAGGAAATGATACTTTTGGAATGCGGGCCAATACCCTTCCTGTATATTGCTCTTTAAATAGAAAAGTAAGTATGAGATGATGTAATGTGATGTGAGGATTGTTTATGATTCATTTTTATATTATTTCCAAATGTTTGTTAATTTTGTTTGAAGGTTAAAAACTTGTGGCCTTTGTTAACTGGTGGTCGTGAACTTGTACGCATTAGTTCAAGTAGTGAAATAAAGTCGAGGCAAATGGATGAAGACTGTTTAGTTGGAGATTATACTGTTGTGTCTGAGAAGACCTCAATTAAAGGCACAAGTATTGGTTCACATTGTGTTATTGAACCCAAGGTGTGCCTTACAAATTGTATTATTATGAATGGTGTGAAGATAAGAGAAGGGTATGTATCTCTGATGTGATGTTTTATATTTTTGTATATTTAATTGTGGGGTTCTTATAAAATACTTAATGAATTCTGATTATATTTAACATATTATGTGTAGATTTCTGGTTGATTGTGTCAGACTTGTATGGTGAGAAAGTAGCTTTAAATATTTTCATTATGACAGTGAAAAAATTGAGTGAATGAAACAGTTAGAAATATATGTGTGTAATGAATTTTAATAATTTTGAAATTTGTAATGCAGGTGCAAATTGTCTAACTGTGTTGTTTGTGACGAGGCAGAAATATGCAGTGGTTGTGAATTGATTGATTGCATAGTTGGAAGCACACATACTGTTGGAGAAGGAGGTAAGTGATGTATTATGATCCTGTTATACAAATAAATTCTGGCTGATCCTGGGTTTACAGTGCACCTTATCCTAGGCTTCCTCGATTAATGTTCCTTGACATGATCTGCTTCTCTTCCATTCTGTGCGAAAGGATGTTATCATTCACCAGACGGGAGTAGTTTATATTATTTTGAGAAGGATTTGAATGAGCATACATGCATATATCTGTTATAAGATTTTTAAGTTGAGTATTCACATGAAATGCGTCGGACAGACTCAGGATGTTTTATGAGTACCAAAGGCCCGAGCCTCTTCTTCAATTCGGCCATACATAACAAAGCATCACAATTTCACGCGTGTGAACCAGGACACCAACAAATTTCCAGCTGCCTCTAAAATTGTGTGAAATTGTACCACATAAATGAGGAATTCTATTGTTCACAACACAAGAATCGGTAGCAAACAATAAATACACTAGCATTAAGGAGGCTGTGACAGTAAAGGCCGTTCTTCGTCAAGTCTGAGGTGCACCATAAACCTGGGATGAACCTAAATTCTTTTCTATTTATAAAGAAATTAACACTTTGTTTCTTGTCTGCAGAGAAACATTCTAATGAAGTCCTGACAGAGTTGGATCGCTTGATGGAGATTTGAAAAAACTTTTTACTTTGTTTTCTTGAAAATAAATCGAATGTAAATTATGCCAAGCCATTTCCTTTTCATTGTGAATAATACCTGTAAACATTTTTATCCTTACCTGAATCTTAGTCCTTAGTCATTAATTAACACAATTAATTAATGACTAAAATTAGAATTGTTAGATCCCTTGGAGGGGGGGTGGTGCTTGCAACGTAAAATAATAGTGAAGTATTAGTTTGAAAATGCATATTGATATATGTTGCAGTTCCTGCTGGTGAAGTCATGAGTTACACGACACAGAAGCAAGTCCACCATATGGTCATGTGACCTCCCCCCCCCGGAATTTATTACTGAAAATTTCTTGTATTCTGCAGCCATTGCTGTACAGGAGAAAGAAAGTATATTTATTCATGTGAGCTTATTACACTCCGGTCACATCCAGTGCGACTAAACTGGATTGCATTGTGTGGCTCCATGAGTTCTTGGCAAACGTGTTCGGCTCTTATCTTAGGGCTGGGTTTAAGAATCTTTTTTAAATGTTACTAAGCTATATTGTTTGTCTTTGTCATCTGTACAAGTGGAAGTACTTTGGAAGTGCTGGTTAATTTAAACGTTGAACAAAAAAATATTAAGTAAGATCCCACTTGAACATGGATGAAGTTAGAAACAAAACAAAGCGAAACAAAAACTTGAATTATATTAGCAAAAGCAGTGGGGCTTTTAAGACCAGACCTGTGCATCAATCAAACATACAGTGATAAGAATTAGTCAATAATTGTTTTATTGTACCCTCTGTGGTTACACGTTGAAGCTGCCACTGCTGCTGCAGATTCCCTGTCATCTGAGTGATTCAACAATGCTGGTAAAATTTAAATCCACATGCAAGTTGAAATATTCTCGAAGGTTAATTGGAGCTTGTCCATTCAATTAAACAAATGTAATTCAGTATGAAGTTAAGAAAGAGGGTTCTTTCTCCATAAAGTCAGTGTACCGTTGAGTCCAGTTGTGATTTATGGAGCAAAACCTTGAGGAAATGCACCTTCAATGCTAGAAGGTTTCTGTGTAGAATTACAGTAATGATAAAAATATTAGAGATAATTATTGTTGAAAAAAAAAATTTTTGCCTTCAAACACACTGTATTCAAAACTGAACATTTATTTTCCTTTGGCTATTTGGGCAATTGACAGCTTTTAAACACCTCTTTCTGTACATATAAAAAAACGAAACTTTGGGCAGAAACAAAACAAGCACTTACAAGCTTCCTGCTTTAGTCTTAATGTGGCTTAATTACCACTCCAAGCGGTTTAGAAATATGAACAAGTTATATAGTAAATGCTTAGTTTAGTAAAAGCTAAAATGCTTTCACTAAAATTGATATATCATTTCCTAATAGCGGGAAGTTTGGCATGGCTTATATCTTGTTACTGCCTCCAAGCCCTTCATATAAAAAGCTAAGTAAATATAATGATTTTTAGTGCACTGGCACATGTTCTATTGTAAGACAGAAAATTACCCCTCCTCCCACTCACATACACACAGAGCATCAAACTCATTTAAGAAAATACTAGTGGTGCTACAGAATGACACAAAGCTTTTCGTACTAGTTTTATAATTTCTTTGGTCTGGGCTAGCTTCTCGGTCTTGCCAGCTGCCTCCTCTTGCTTACTCCATTTTAAATATTTAAGAACTTAACAGAAGAGTGAACACTTGTCCTACATGCAAATTTTCGTTGAGAAATTTGGAGCCGTTTTTAAGAAAATGTCGTTCATGCGTTTCTGCAAATGCTAAATTTTGAGCTCTCTTTCTCAGATTTGTTTTTTTTTTTTGTTTTGAGTATTCGAAAAACTTTATTAGAAGTCATAGAAAGAATACAGCAAATTAATTTTACGTAATCTTAAACAGTGAAATTAGCACTAACCATACGAAATGTTTGAAGAAGAAATTTGGAATGTTTTTTTAGAAAATGGCTTTCGGGTATTTCCGAAAAATGCGGAGTGTTTAGCTATTTACAGAAAACTTTTGAGTATTCGAGAAACTTTTTAAGACATCATTTAAAGCAAATTAACTTGGAAATGCAATAATGTGTACAAATCGCTGCTATGTAAATATTGACGTGAGAGACAAGTCAATAAAATTAAGTTTTTGTATTTTTTTTTAAAACAAAAGGATTTTGCGAAGTGGTGTTTAAGCCATCTTAAAAAGTCCATTTAGCACTACACTATCCCTACCAACATTTTCCTTAAAGTAAAACCGTAATATTACTTTAAGAATATTATAGAAAAGTGAAACCTCGTCCTATAAGGATTTTTTTTTGTTGAAAAATTTGGAGCTGTTCTTAAGAAAATGACTTTAAGCGTTACTGTAAATGTGCAATTTGAAGCTCTTTTTCACAAATCTTTCCGAAAAACTTCACTGGAAATTATTAGTAGAGCTTCTACTCACAAATGCAATTTCTGGGAATGTGCATGTTAAAGGCATGAGATATGTTTTTAAAGAAGTTCATTTTGAAATTACACAAACAGAATAAAAAAATAACATTTTGTCATCTTTAACAGTGTAATTTGCACTCTCCATTCGAAAAATTTGAATACAAAATTTATAGCTTGTTTTTAAGAAAACGACGTTAAAGCGTTCTGAAGATGCGGAATTTTGAGCTCATTTTCACAGAAAACGTGAGTTTTTGAGAAACTTTATTAATACACAGTGGTGATGGGTGAGTTAAATTTTAGGGTGTTGTTAAAGCAATGGTGGTAAGGGCAGGGAGGTGTTCCTCTCCAGTACAATTATTAAAATTGTGTAAGAACATATCACCGTAAATTCAAATATATTTTTAAATATTTCGATTGCTATTGGATAATTATAGATATGAAAACTTAAAACCCACTAATAAAGAAAGGAGGATACAAAAAAATTATCGATTCCAAGAAAATGATTATAAATATTTCTTGAATGCGGCACGTACGGTATACGTGTGCCAACGCGCAATGAGCACAAGGCGAAATCGGGCGACAGAGTCAGATCCGTTGCCGGCGTCAGGTCGGCCCGTCCGTCATATCAATTCCTTTCAATGTACGCAACGACTGATAAGTGGTTTTTGGGCGACTGCTTTTGTACGGTGAAGTGACACGATGTCTATTGTGTTACTGACTGTTGCGACCTCATCAGAGAATGTGGAGCAAATTTATAGTATTAATAATCAATCTTGAGAAACAATGCTTTAATTTCTCATTTATTACTTTATATTATTTTGAACTTAACCCTTCTGAACGTACAGTCACCAGGTTACAATAGTTTAATTAGGCAACATTGGGAACGAGACATTTATTATCAATTTTATCAATATATACAGAAATGAACTTGTAATCTTACCTTGTTTACTTGAATTGAAAATACAATCGCTGATTTTTCAGATGAACAAATTTTTCCACCACTAATTTAGTAAAGTTAATGGTTTCACGGACAAGTTGCATTTTTACTAGTATTTGACAGGATTGCGAGGGAGCACAATCGCTCAGTTGACAATGAAATGTTTTTATCCACTTCTGGAGAAGCCATTGGAGTACTGAGAAGAATTCAAAGACGTTTGCAGACTGATGGAAAAATTTCTTCCGACATTTCATTTCGCAGCATTACTCGAAATAATGGTACCGCTCATGTTGGATTTCTAAATTCGCCTCTCTTGTTCATTCCTTGCAACAGCATTTTGAACTGAATTTGACGTTGATTTTTAAAAACACCGACAATGGTACATACAAAATCCACTATCCCTCGAAATATCGTAGGATTTTCCGATTGTTCACTTTCGTCGTACCCTCACAACGCAAGCTGAGCTGGTGCACAAAATTTGACACAGATTATTAGTGTTCAGAACATGCCTGTTCATACGCCCATCATCGTTGTCGTTTTACAGCGAGACGATAACTGTCGCTAGGCTAAATCACAATAATCAAGTAAAGCCAGTTCAACATTACTCTTTTATGGAGATGTGTCTCTTGATTTTTTTTTATTTTTCTTCTCTTTTTCTCTCACTCAAATGGTACATGTCATTATAACCGGTTTCGTCCACTATTTCCCTTCTTGCTAAATAAGATGCAAGAAAAACAAAATAGGACATTTTCTCCCCTCACACTCACGTAGTCACTTGTATGTCGAATAAATATTAGCATTGAATCGTCGACGAAACGTTTGTTTAGCTGATTTCTCAGTTGTTAAATTTTCAGAACCGGATTATCCGGACCAAGCTTCTTGATTGAAATAATTGAACATGAGGATGCATGGTCACTAAAACTAAAGCATTATTCGAACCCGAGATGTAAAACACATTTATACACTGATTTTAAGACTTCCCTCACCATTCACATCAGATGCAAAGCTTCGGAGTATTGTATTGGGGATACTGTTTTACGAACGTAAACTCGTCCTGACGGCGCGACGGAGACTTCGGCTCGGAGTTGGGTGACGCGATAGCCCGAAAAATGCTGCGCCAAGCGGAGTTCACGGCGTAAGTGTGAACATGTTCCAATGAAAGTGCCCTATAAAAACGCAGAAGCGACGTCACACGATACCTAATGGTCCTTTAGGAACAACGTCTCAGCGAGGTGTTGTTTCGAAAGCGAGAACAACAACGTAGCCACATCGGTTCGTCAATATAACACTGGTATGGGAATTATAAAAGGAGGAGCAGAAGAAAAGTCATTCCACGTCAAATCGCACACTCACAAAACATCATTATTTTTTAACAGTTCTAGGGTTGAAAATAGGTGACACGTATTTTTTTCTCTTCTTCTAATCCCACCCATTTCTGAAATATTACTATTTACTTTTTCCGAAGAATCATGCATTACAGTAGTTTACGCAAATATCGTTTTATGGAGAAAAATAAAACTACACTTAAATTTAACATAAAAAGATGATTTTTTATGTGATGTAAATATAATTTTTGAAACATATTATTTAAGTTTTTAAAATATATATTAATTTTCAAAATGCAATTTTTTTTACTTTACGTATACATTTAAATTAATTATAAAAATACTCATGTATTTCTACACTAATTTTGTATAGATCTTCCAAATTTCAAAGTGGGACACATGTAAATAACATTTTAAAAAATAGTTCACCGGCACACTTAGGCAGCCCGCTGTTCGCCGGACTCGCAATTTGGGGAATCAATGACACGATACATCTTGACGTCCA